GATATTTAGCCTTTAGTAGCCTCCGATCAATATGTGACAAATCTACCTTTAATTTGCGAATGACGATGTACAGAAGTACGTCAGTTACGGGCAAATTACCGTGCTAGCCTATTTACACATTCATTTAAAATATGAATTATTTTTTTACACAAATCATCTGATTGTTACATTCAAAGTATTTAATCTAGCTGTCAATAATTAGTAGGCTAGTATGTATCCATCAGTCTTGTAGATGCATGGAGCCATTTTTGTTGCAGATAGACATGAGCTAACACAGCAGTGCGCTGTGAGAGGTTTTACTCTTTAACCTGGTACTCACTAACTGTGATAGTCATATTGATGTGCACAATTATATATTTTTAATTTTAATAATTCTTCTATAATACAAAAATGGCAGCATTTAATTATATCCTCAGAGTCACAAACACTTAGGCAGCATCCCAAACTGCATACTGCTGTCCTAGATAGTATAACACTACTGATTACTACATTACTAATTATTATGTGGTTTAGGAAATTCCAAAAACATACATAGTGTAGCTTTAAGTTTTTTCAAATTTACATACACATTTATAATTAAGGTGCTGTGTTCTTGTGATTTGCCACTTCTAGAGCCTAAAGAATGCCTGGCTTGCACACTATGCCAGAGACACAGCCAACCCCGGGGTTCTGGTCCTCCTGGGCTGTGGTACTGTCTCCAGCACATGTGGGCAGCTGGCCAGCTACCCTCTGGCCCTGGTACGCACTCGTATGCAGGCACAAGGTAAGTACTGTTCCCGTTTAAAAGCCCCAAAGAGCTCAGAGAGCCACTCTTGAATGCTTGATGGACGACAGATGTGTCACCATGCTGTTTGTGTGTGAGGGAGAGCTGAAGAGAATACAGAGATGGCTGGCATTTTAGGAGGCATTTAGAGAGCCGGTACTTGGCAATAAGCAAAGGGGCACATTGGTTACAAAAGTCCTTGATGGCTTAAGGGTTAGAAATAATTAAGCTTCATGTAGGAGTGTGTTCATATTCATGTAGAGATCCCAAGAGAACCAAGCAGATTTTTTGTAAAGTGCTTTAGTAAATCCAATTCAATCCAATACAACATTTTAAAATAATGTGTTAATAACTGGTGTCAATCTGTGTTGCGGTTTCAGCATCGCTCGATAACTCGGAGCAGCCCTCTATGCGGTCACTGATTAAGAGCATTGTGGCGAAAGAAGGCTTTTTCGGTCTCTATCGGGGGATCCTACCCAACTTCATGAAGGTCATTCCAGCTGTCAGCATCAGCTATGTAGTGTACGAGTACACAAAATCATCGCTGGGTATCTCAAAGTGAATGTCACTGGGCCATGTTCCCAAATCGCAGCATAGAAGTGCCGTTCCTGGATCCGTTTATCTTTTTAGACAGAGGAAAAATGTATTAATCATGTGGATCAGCCACAATCTGATCCCAGATCAGCATTCATGTGTTAAAAAGCTTCGTGAGTCCAGACTGTTGTTGGCGTTTTACAGCACTTTTCTTCATGAATGTCCCATCTGCACTACACACCACTGACTTTTAAAACCTATAGAAGTGCATCAGTAGTGTCTTGCATACAAGGATGAAGCAGTGGGATGGACTCATACACTGTAGATTTAACTACATGGTTTAGTTATATAGTTATTTGTCATTTGTTTATTTAAATTTGTAGCAATAGGAAAGGCCGGTCACTGCACTGAATATTATGGCAAATAAGATTTGCCTTATGGCTTGCATGCTATGACCTCTTTATTGTGTGTCTGTGCATGTGAAAGTCTGATGTCTGTGAATGTTAGTTTTATTTCTATTACATTATTTTTTATATTTTTATATTTTATTAGAAATTTATACATTGTAGACCCCAAAGTACCATTGCATAACCCACCAGATAACACCAATGCATCACAGAGAAAGGTACTAAAATGGGTCGTTTATCCAAATTATAAATAATGAAAAATCTGTTCCAAAATCTGTGCCCTTATTGACTTACCCTCCCAAATTCCAAATGGGAGGAATTTCCGTCGCCATCATAACGGCTCCTGCATGATGTTATCAGTTATTGTGAAAACTGTTGGCAGTTTTAAGGGCTGAGGGATTGAGTGAACCAGAATTTGCCCAGAAGGCATTGCAATCTGATGTAATTTCCTTTTCAGAACAGCATAAATTGTGGATGAAGCTGTTTATAAATGTAAACAGAAACGATAAAATTAGAATATTAAAAAAAAAAGTATTATATTTGATTTGCTGTGTTCACATAAGGCTTTACTCCATAGCAAGCTGCCTAGATAGCAAGATGAATAATTCTGTACATAGTTCAAAACAAATAGACTATTGAAATCACCAAAGAAATTGCTTTCATTCTTTTACAAACTTGTTTTTTTTTCTTTAATTATATTTTTCTAGTACTAATTAGTTAGTACATTAGTTTATTAGCAAGGCAATGTGACAGTTCAGAGAAAATTTAAACAATTAAATCCAAGGATATTGCTTTGACATACCATATGAAATACACTATTTGTTATTTTTTTTCTGCAAGTGGTTAGCTGATGCAAACAAGGGGTCACAAGGGGAAGTCAATGGATGGTTGGAACACATTGCTACTGTGAGTGGTTAGTAAAATCACATACTATGACCAAATATGTAAAGGTATTTATTGTGTGCTAATCATTCTTTCCTCTAAGTTTGTTTGCATATGCAAGGTTTGTTAAGTTAAACTAACCCTTTTTGCATAAAGAGAATGACAGTAAAAATGCATCTGATATGAACAATACTGCACAATTGCATCCAGTGTTATCTGCCATATGTTAGCTAGCTAACATAACCAAAATATTTGCTGTACTGTTTGTCATGTTAATGTATAGTTCATTAACAAGTTTTGAGACCAAGACAGAAGGCTGATTTTTCTACTATGCTACATTTGTTCGTATTTCTCAGTGATGAAATGTCTAGATAATGGGCCTTGTTTACTGATCTTTTCATAAATCAATAAATGGAAATGTTTTCGTAGACCAAACCGAACCAAAGTTTCACAAACTCAGGAGCTCTCGTAGGATATGAACATTTTTCCAAACTAACAGAATTTAATAACTACCACATTTCTTGTGTAAATGCTCCTGCTAACGATTTATGAATAAATTCTTTCATACCCAGTCTGATAAATGAGGCCCCTTGTCTAGACAGTTTCTGGATGTAAACTCCAAAATGATCTAGAATTGTATTCAAGGAAGTGACTTGAGACAGTTTTAGTTGTTAGCCATTATAGCACAAGTCTAATCTCAAGACTAATCTTACAATTTGCATTTTTAGCAACATGCTAACTAAATGGCATGCTAACACTTATGTGAATAATGACATAGGCTGAAGGGAAAATCTAGTAATTCAGTCTGTATCAGTGAAGTATCACTGCGAATACACAGTTTTAGACTGTTAAAAGTAACTGTTTATGTTTGTGTTGGCTTTGTATTTGAATGGATGCTAATGCTTGAATAAAGACTATGTTCATTTATCATGTAAATATTAAAGAGGCTGTTGTTTTAGGGTAAATGCCTTCCTGCATGGACATACAGTATACTACATAATGTCTGGAAGCCAATATTTCTTATTCTGTGTAGTGCACTGGGATTGTGCCAGTGTTGTCATGGTAACAGAGCAACCTTGACTGGCCTGTGGACCTCCTAAAAGCTTGTGATATCGACGGAACAAGTTTGTTTTCGTCAGCACTTCTTGTCGTCAAGCCCAAGAACAAAATGCTACTTGTTTTGCGTCCATACCACCCCACCCCCCCCCCCCCCTTTTTTTTTTTTTTTAATAAATCACTTTATATTCCTTTTTTTCTGTGATGTCATTTTTGCTAACACAGCATAAGAGTCCTTGAAAGGGCAAGTACATGTTATAGGCTCCATAATAATGATGGCAAAGCTGTATTTTTAACCGAAAAAGGTACACTAGTGCACACCTGACCCAGTCCATGAGAGACTATGAATCATGTGTATTAAAAAGGCTCAGAACAGGAACCATTAATCGAATGTATCAGTGAAACATTAAATGTAAACATAATCAGACTCAAAATACTTAAATATGCTGTCACAGCTTATGATTTAAGGATTAAAGGATGAATTATGATTCAGTCAAGCTTAGCAGTATTATTCCATGCTCCAATAAACAGCACTTCACTATATAATACTGTTGCCAGGCAAACTACAAAATACTCTCCTACTGTAACTATGACACATATTTGCATGTCTTTAATAGAAACATCTTCACTAATGGTCACCTGACCAAATTCACGAAGGACAGTGTGATGAAGGAAAATTGTGATGCAAGCCGGCTGCTAGTGCTTTACTGATTTAACAGTCACATTTTGGTCATTTTTACCTTTAAATATGTAGGTTTGCTTTACTCGAAGGTCTTTACAGGCATTCTAACCCTGTAATGTTATGACATTGTCTGGTTTGACTCATTTATATCTTAAAAACACACACACACACGCACATTGGTTAAGTTATGATTGGCGCTAGAGGATTTCTGGGAGTAGCCTACCTAACATCAGATTCTAGCCTCCCAAGATTCAATGTTCAATATTAGGCTGGGTGAAATAAGATTCAATAACGCTAAATTAAATATGGATGTCTAGTGAATCATTCACCACTTTTCTCATTTCACTCCTCAGCCTAACATTTTTGTTTAAGAAATATTAGAGCTCAACCCGAAGGGTAATGAAATCATTTTCATTACATTGTAAGCTAAATTGTAAATGCCATGGCTAAACTGTAGGCATCTCTGAAACCAGCAGTTACACTCCTGAGATTAGATTAGATTCAACTTTTTTGTCATTGTGCAGAGTATGAGTACATAGCCAATGAAATGCAGGGTTTTTTTTGCAGATCCCAGCTCACTAGGAAGCTGGAGTCAGAGCACAGGGTAGGCCATGATATAGCACCTCTGGAGCAGACGTGGTTAAGGGCCTTGCTCAAGTGCCCAACAGTAGCAGCTTGACAGTGCTGGGGCTTGAACCCAGGGCTTAATCAGTAACCCAGAGCCTTAACCATTTAGCCACCACTGCCCATAAAGGCTGTCCCATTTAAAACAGATCTCACTAGTTACTTATGTAACCCTTCAATAAAGTCATGATAGTGTATACGCCACTATCATACAGTCATCTTTCCCCACAGCCTTTTTCTCCTAGCTCTCTCTGGGTTATCACTGGTTCCAAAAGCCAAGTATTCAGTTTTATCCCATCTAATCATCAGGGGCATTTTTGAGTTCACCCTGAGACCAAGCTTGTAATCTGAGTGAAGAGGGTGGATATGTCCCAAATGGCCTGCTCCTTGGTGGTTGTGGATAGAAGCCAGTCATCCAAATATGGAAGTATCCTGATGTCTCTGGCCATCAGAAGAGACAGGCCATCTGCACACATCTTGAAAACACTTGTGGCACTAGAGATAAGGCCGAAGGTTATAATTTTGGATTGGAGGTGCCTGTAGCTCTAACTGCAGATACATTTAATGGTCAAAAGTTTGGATACCTGACCATCACACTCATATGTGCTTATTGAACGTCCCATTCCAGATTTAGTCCCCCTGTGCTGTTATAATAACCCCCACTCTTCTGGGAAGGCTTTCTGCTAGATTTTGGAGCGTGGCTGCGGGGATTTGCTCATTCAGCTACAAGAGCATTAGTGGGGTCAGGTACTGATGTCAGACGAGGAGGCCTGGGGTGCAGTCAGAGTACCAGTTCATCCCAAAGGTGTTCAGTGGAGTTGAGGTCAGGGATCTGTGCAGGACACTCGAGTTCTTCCACACCAACCTTGGCAAACCATGTCTTTATGGATCTCAGTTTTTGCACAGGGGCATTGTCATGTTGGAACAGGTTTGAGCCCTTTAGTTCCAGTGAAGACAAAGACATCCTATACACTTGTGTGCTTCCAACTTCGAGGCAACTTTGGGGAAGAACCACATATGGGTGTGATGGTCACATGTCCACAAACTTTTGGCCATATAGTGAAGCTCCATATAGTGTACATGTGCTCCAACATGTGTACGCAGCAAGAAGATAGGGGAAAGATGGCTGTATGACTGCAGTATTACTACATCATACATAACGTCATGACTTTGTTGGAAGGTCTCGATATGCATGCACACTCACAGGTCACCAAGTGATTCTTATACTCCCTGGCATCTTGCCTACCTACATTTATAATGCCATGTTGCTTTAAATGCAGGATTTATACTTTTCAAAGAATTGCAGCTCTGTAATGCAATGACATGTCTGTAACTCATAAAATAAGTGAAAATTTAGTCATTTCTGCAACAGCCCTTATTTTTCACTGTGTAAAATCAAGGATTTCTCAATTTTCTAGAAAATATTTCTGTGGGAAAACAACATGCCAAAAGCTTGATATGAACTACATTTACATCACTGAATGTATGTATATCATATGCATTTTTCTTGTGTGTATCACCTCATGTGTTGTAATTTTTAAGATCATTAAAAATGTTAAAAAAAAAAAAGTCATGTATCTAATGAAACACTTTGTGACATGCAGATTAGCTATAGATCTTAGTAGCTAGCTTGAACTCAGCTTGCTGATCGACCTTCAATTTAAGAAGTCTAGTTTGTGTTCTAACAAGCGATTATGACTAAACAAATGTCACATCCTCCAGGCTAGAAATGACGACATGCTGATATCGAACTGTGTCCCAAATGAGAAGCTTAGGTTTCTTAAAAGTGCCACTGCAAAGACTTAAAAACTCAGTTATTCTAATAAAGATTTTTATTTTTTCAGTTTTAAATAGGCCAACAAACCATAAAAATACATACAGGTCAGTAAAATGATCAGCCACATACTCACATGTGCACATCAGCATCAAGGTTTAAGATTGTAAACCGCCTTCAAAAACAGAATTGATAGACTGGTTAAATTGCTGTTCACAAGAAGGTTGGTGGTACTGTGGGATTTTTTTTTTTTTTTCCTGTTTGCTTTATCCTGAGAGTCAATTAAAATGAGCTCACATTGAAGTAATTCAGCTGGTCAATGCTGATGTAGTTAAAAGCCCTCTCCAGTCCACAAATGCTCAAAGGCGTGAAATTAAATTAATGCTGACAGGGCTATCATTTTACTGAATGAGAAATTCAAAATTAAACACATGACCATTCATAAATCCAGGAGAAATCACCCCAATAGCCCCAAATGAAGGAATTTACATTGCTGTCATGAAAAAAATACATTCTCTATTAATAAAAACCTAGTTGTAGATTAAATGTAATTTGTGAGGGAGCGATACAATATTGGCATCACAAAAACAAATATTTCAGCTCAACAGAAAAAAAAGACCCTCCTACCATTTTAACGTCATGATTCACATCCTTGTTTATCGGATGCACACTATCACAGGACATAAGGAAATATGGGATTACAATTTGAGGTTAAAACACCACCATCATAAAATAATGCACGGAATCTCACATAGTGGTAGTAGGGGTTTAGGCCTCTGCAGGGCACACATCAAGTGTTTCTCCCTCAAAACAAAAGATTAATCAGTCCCTTAACATCGATAACAAATCTTTCTACAAGCATTCAAACCGGATGTAGATCATCAATCCACAGCAATACACAGATCAGTGTTTTTCCTGCTCAAGCACATCGGCGCATAAAATCGGTTGTGTTAGAGCAGGAAAAACACACGTGTAACACAAACTTCAGGATAAAAGACAAATCTGCTGTATTCAGTTTCTACATCTTGCCTCTGGAGCATGTAAGTATGCAAAATGCATTTTATTGCTGAACTGGTTGGACTTGTAGATTATCCTTAATTAGAGAACTTTCAGGAAAAAAATAAAACGGTGGATGAAGGGAGCAGCACTGTGTAATAAAAACGCCACAATGCCAACATGCACAGTACAGCAAAAAAAACCAAAAAACCTCCTTTTCACCCATTCATAGTTGTTCTATTATTTAGCTGTTTGACAAAGCAGAAATGTTTGAATTTCTATAGCGCAAGAAAATGGGGGGGGGGTTAAGATAAATGAAAAAAGGGAACAAAAGGAAAACTCAATTCAACAGAGACCAGAGAGAAAACAGAATGCTTTCATTTTCCAACTAGAAAAAAAAGAACCTATAGCATCTTTTATAGCATTTTCAAAAGAAAAGTAAATACAAGGTGCATGCGACAGCTTTTCAACGTTTCGGGATAAAGATGATGGTGATGAAGAGGATAATGATTGTGATGGCGGGGTCACGACTCCTCGTTTCCTGAGTCATCTTCATCGTAGCAACAGTCCTCATCATTATTGTCCTCCAAGTCCTCGTCGTCATAGTAATCATCGTAAAACAAGTCAGAGCCCTCGTCTGTAGCGGGGGCGCGCGTGCGCACACAGTACTCAGCCAGCGTAGTGGGAACTTTAACACCGTCTCGCTCTGCTTCTGCTTTAGTGGCCAGAACCTGTTTTCTGTAACACACACACACACACATATAAAGAAGATTCAAAAACCTAAAGGAAACAGGGGAAACTCTAGTATTTCCATTTTCAGCGTCTTCTTAAATAAGGATGTTCCCATGGAGTGTGCAAGTGTTTGGAAAACATTCTAGCTATGAGCTGTGCTGTTCTCTTAACTATGCCACTGTAGTCAATCTCACCCCACATTATTTAAAGCTACAGTGCATAGGATTTCTTTCTTAAACATTTACTTACTTACATACATACATACATAAATAAATAATCAATCAATCAATCAACCAACCAACCCATGACTATTGAGTCAGGGATCATCATGCCCAAGCTGAAAGTAGTCCAGCTACACGATTACTGGCAGGAGTCACAGCCAATCAGAAGAGACGGAATCAAAGCAGGGTGAAAAATGGACTCTTTCTTGCTGAAGAGGTCATTTTGTTGACCTGTGAATTACAGTGTGCTGATTTATTCTAACTGAGGCTTTTATATTGTTAGCCAGTAGTGGCTAACAGGGTGTGTATGTGTATTTTTGCATTTCAAACTTGGTTAAACTGGCCAGAAGCCTATTGTTCTATTGATGCTTTTGTTTGCTCTTGGTGTGTGTAAATAGACACTGTTGACATGTGTGTGTCTATTTATCCTCTACACCATGTTAGCTAGCACGCCATCGTAGGCTGTCTAGTGGCTAGTTGGTGCTTTGGTGTATTTTTCTCTACTATGCATTTGAAGGTTAAGGTAATCAAGCTATGCTTTTGCAGAGCTTTAGTGTGTGTATTTTTTTTTCTATGGCTCTACATCTTCATTAGGTGCTCTGTTTTAGCTTGGTTATATCAGACGAGTGAATGGATTGACAAACACTAGCGAGATTTTATTCTCTTAACGCTTTTGTAAACCTGGGGGGATCAAAATAACAGCAGATATGATATCTTCTGAATCACAAATGCTTGGGGAACATCCCAAATGACATTCTACACTACTAAATAGCATGCTAATACACCTATACTATTGATATTGTGTTATTATTTAGCATAAATAATGAGGCTTGTTCCCTGATCCATATGCTGGTCCATATCCATATGAGAAGGACGCAGCACAACAAAATGTTCTTTTGTAACAAGTAACTCGCAATAGCATTTTACTACCAAAGAGGGTGAAATTTCAAAATCTTAAATCCTGCAGCTTTTGCAATGCATTGTATGGTATCTTGCTTTAAGGGCTTCAAGCACTCACGTTTCTCAGTCAGAAATTAATGTTCATCGGAGCAGTCTCTGTAACCCATAAGCTCCTGCCTAAAATGCCACATATTTTTAATTGAAAACTACTACACTTTCTGGCCAGACCCATATTTTGTCATTTGGTGCCATTTGGTGATTGGACCTTATTGTTATGTTAAAGGTATATGCTGATATTGTAAAAGAAATGAATATACACTGCATATCACACTTGTTGTCATGATAAATATTTCTGCCAACATTCTTCCTTTTTCTTGTTTAATGATATCAGGTTGTATCATCGTTGAGAAATAAAGTAGGAAATAAGAGGAAATTGGACAAAGCTTGTTCCCAAAAGCCAGATAAGAGTACATACTGCAGTCTTAATATGGTCAAAGTCC